CTCCCCCTGCTTGTGTTCCCTCGCTCGCTGTGTCTCTCTCTTTGTCAAACAAATAAATAAAAATCTTTAAAAAATAAAAATAAAATAAAATAGATAACAATGGTTGGTAATGGTGGTCACATTCTTCAAACTGTAAATACTTCTAAAAATTTTTTAAAAGTCATGACCAGTGCTGACTTCCTTCAGGTTACTTGTATGAGTCCTATTAACAGTTTATAAATACAAAATGGCAGTAAAAATAAGAGGATCTAAATTGTAATTAGTGTGTAGTAACAACTCAGGTATTTTGGTCAGTGACTATTAAAAAAAATTTTTAACCTTTTATTTTCCTTTCTAAACTACCAATGAAAAGAAATCCTATTCATGAGAATATTAAAATGAGTGGTTTTGAGACAAAATGTTTTAATATGTTTATTTGCTTGAGATTTTCTAAGTTACCAAAATCTAGGAAGGAAATCCCTTATCCCCCTTCATATTAAGGTACTGTGAGTGACCTCTGTGTCATGGGACAGCTCTGATTCCTTTGTCTTAATTTCTCTTTCTTTCTTGGAGAATCTACGCTTACTTAAAGGGGTGCCTGCAAACCTAGTGGCAACAGCAACAATAACCAGGTGCTCCAGAGAGAGACCTGTCATCTTTAACGTCTTCTTTGCCATCCACATCCAAATAACCACCACATTTGCCAATTCTAACTCAGAAACAGATTCAGAATCTGGTTCTCCTGAACTGTCTCTGGTATGGCTCCCATGAGCTCCTTGGACTCTCGCAAATGCCTCTAATGCCACAACCCTCCTTTTCATCCTTTACCCCACTTGAGAACTACCCACCATTGCCAACTTCCTGCTAAAATACCTGCAGTGACTCCCTTATGCTTATACGTTAAACAGACTTCAGCATACAGTTCCTTCACAACTTGGCTACGACCTACCATTTCAGTATCATCTTCAGATGCTCCCACTCCCCATGGTACATCGAACACTGCAGGGAAAACACTATATGAGCCACTGCCTAATACGTGATACGCTTTCTTGTCTTGTAACTTTGGCTGTACAACAGCTGATGAGAAAGCAAGATTATTTAAGAGAAAACATACCTACAGAAATTAGTTTTGAGTTCTTTCTGTCTCAATTACTCTCCGTCCCTTTTCTCTTTGGCTTGTCAATTCAATCATCACTCCTGAACTCCTAAGCCAGACTCTCTTCTTTATTTGCATGCTGTGCTTGGCCAGACCTCCAACACAGCACTGGTCACACTGTATTGTGATTGTCCGTATATATTCCCAAAAGACTGTCTGCTTTCCAAAGTGGGGAATATACATGTCTATCTTACTTTTATAACTTTAATGCCCAGTGTAGTGCTTAGAAATCAGTAAGTGCTTACTGAATAAATGTGCAAACATACAATTAGATCTCTAACTGCCATGCAAGCCACAAGTAAGCAACTGATCTTCACTCCTAGGAAGGACAAAAATTTTGCTCAGAAAATCTTCACAGGGGGCGCCTGGGTGGCTCAGTCATTAAGCGTCTGCCTTCGGCTCAGGTCATGATCCCAGGGTCCTAGGATCGAGCCCCGCATCGGGCTCCCTGCCCGGCGGGAAGCCTGCTTCTCCCTCTCCCACTCCCCCTGCTTGTGTTCCTGCTCTTGCTATCTCTCTCTGTGAAATAAATAAAATAAAATCTTAAAAAAAAAAAAAGAAAAGAAAAGAAAATCTTCACAGGTTGTATCTTCATAATAGAGTCAGGAGGGGGCGCCTGAGTGGCTCAGTCGGTTAAGCGTCTGCCTTGGGCTCAGGTCATGATCCCAGGGTCCTGGGATCGAGTCCCACATTGGGCTCCCTGCTCGGC